AAATATTGGCAATACTTAGTACTACTAGGAACGAGTTTATATGCTTACATCTTGCCGGGTTCAGCACCAACATTGACAATGATAAGTTGGGCTGATGAAAACTGATCAATACCATTTCCCACACTTCACTTCTGTAATGCTTCCCAGGGTTACAGGTGATTAACTACAGAAGAATATGTCATCAGTAAAAATTAGTGTTATCTGTGGCCCATGTTTGTTGGTTAATTCTTTTAAGTTAAATTATTTTGACTTAATGTGATTTTAAATTATATTAAAACCACCCAAACCAGAACCAAGATATTCATTAAGATACAAAGCTCCAGTATTCATGATGAATGGACTTTAGCTTAGATTTATCCTTTGTCATAAGTTAACTGTATTACCTGCGGTTATAAGTTTGTATAATTTAAAACATGAGAAAGAAAAATTTCTTCATCTTAGGTGACCGAAGTTTCTGGCTTAAGGAAAGTTTAGGCATCAGCATATCTTGTTTTAGATGAAAATCCTATAGTGTGGTCAGGGATCTATGAAATATCTGGGCAAAACAAAACAAAAAGCAAAAAACCCACAGCCATCACCAAACAACACATACACACTCTCCCAACCAACCCCCCAACTTGGGAAGACACATTTCTGGGAGTTGTGGTGGAGGTCAGGGCTTGCAGATCTGGAGAGGTGGAAGGTGATCTTCTGCAGCATTTCTCAAAGGAGGTTCTGTGAGTGGATAAACCCCTTGAGATGTTCTCTTGCAAAAGGGTTCTGAGGACAAAGAAATTTGAGAAATGCTATATATTCTGCTTCTTCTTAGACATTCCCTCTGCATGTTAATTTATTAAAGCCATTGAGAACTTTTCCAGTTAAGACAAATGACCATTTCTGCTTCTCCAGTATTAATGCAACACGGTTTGACCATGGACTTCTTCCCCAACCTCATAAAGTTTATTAACCTTGAATGGCATTTGTTTTTTGAAACACACTTTGGGAATGCTGATCTTTGAGGCATAAAGGCTGACAATGGAGGGAAGAAAGAATCTGCACAGAGCAAAAGAGAAGGAGCCAGAGAGCGCAACCTTCTGGCGGGGCCCTAGTGTCCTCAGGCGACCACTATATAGTGTCTGTGATGTCCACCTGACTCTGTCATTTGAATCCTCACTTTAATTCCCTCAGGTGGGAACAGAGCTGGGTTGGAAGTGAGGATTCATGGATTCCATTCTCCCTTCTGCAGCTGAGTGCCTTTGGACAATTAACTTCCTAATCTGAATCTCACTTTTCTCCATTATAAAATCTGAGTTTAAAAAAATAATCTTGGGCGCCTGGGTGGCTCAGATGGTTAAGCGTCTGCCTTCGGCTCAGGTCATGATCCCAGGGTCCTGGGATCGAGTCCCGCGTCGGGCTCCCTGCTCCTTGGGAGCCTGCTTCTCCCTCTGCCTCTCTCTCTCTGTGTGTGTGTGTCTTTCATGAATAAATCAATAAAATCTTAAAAAAAAAATCTTGATTGGCCTTTCTAGGCCCAATTAGATGATTCTACCTCAACTATTATAATGGGAGAAAAAGAAAAGATAGGATTTGCTTGAATTCTCTTCATGACCAACTTTTCTGGAGTGCAAAAGGAATGATGAATGAAACAGAAATCCTGTAATACAACCTTATGTGGATAGGTGATTTCTAGTCCTCATTATTCTGGCCATTGTGTTTGAAGATTGAGAGTCATGGGGGCAACCTGGATGAAAGCTGGTTTTAGTACTGTACTTGCTGTCATTCAAGTCTTTTTCTCCCCCCAAACAGTCCAGAAACTTTCATCCACTAGATCTTTAATTAAAGCCAAAGGGCAACTTTAAAATTAGTTCTTTTAATTAATTGTCCTTCAGGTTGTACAATCTGTGATTGCACTATTCTTGGTTATTAAACACAGTTTGCATTTCAAAAAAAAATCAAGATGTGGTTGAAATGACTGATTTAAATGAAGCTAATCTAAAAATATGGAGAAACACAATTGGGCAAATTATTATGCAAAAGTGTCTATGTTTTTTGCATATGCCAGTATTTTCCTTTAATATAAAATTAAATTAAATTAATTGGAGAGAGAAGTTATAATCGCCAGGGAAGCTAAATCATTGATCTGATGCCACGTATTAGCTGATTGTTGTTTTTCCATAAGTCTCAATACCTGGGTTCTATAACTAAATAATAATTTAGAGACTGAAGACTTAAAGTCACTTGCAAGTTGCATCCCAAATTATATGAAACAAAATGAGTGACTCCCAAAACTGATACCAGATTATCTTAAGATGTATTTTCATAGTGAATCAAACTATTTTTTCAGGATCCATCTGTAATAATCAGTTTCAGATATGATATTCAGTATACATTTGATTAGAAAGGTAGAAATCAAGTTCTTGAAAGTGGAAACTAATCCACTCTTCCCCTCTGATACATCTGCCATGAGGCAAATCTTCTGCCCTCTCATCATGTTGGATTCTGATCCCTAGCAGTGGTTCTCAAGCATTATGGCACATTAGAACTGCCAGGGGAGGTTTTAAAAATTTCCAGTGCCCAGATTGCATTTGAGACTAATCAAATCAGACTCTTTGGGGGTGCAACCCAGGCACCAATATGTTTATAAACTTCTCAGGAGATTCTAATATGCAGCAAAATTTGATGACCAGTGAAGCAGTATCGCCCAATGAATTTCCAAGTTAACCTGCTATACAATTTTGGTTTAAAATTAGCAGTGTGAAACACATCTGTTTTTATTTTTCAACACTTCCGTAGAAATTGCCTCAACATAGGGGCACCTGGGTGCTCAGTAGGTTAAGCACCTGACTCTTGATTTTGGCTCAGGTCATGATCTCAGGGCTGTGGGATCGAGCCCCACATCAGGCTCCATGCGCAGCAGGGAGTCTGCTTGAGATTCTCTTCCTTTCCCTCTCCCTCTGCCCCTCCCTGCTCATGCACGTACTCTCTCTCTCTCAAATAAATAAATCTTAAAAAAAAAAAAGGAAATAGTCTCAACAGAAATGAAGCTACTCCTTAAAAAAAAAAAAGACAAATAAAATGTAAAAAGTGGGTAAGAGCTTGTGGTAGATGCCTTTTGGTGTCTACTTGGTTCATGAGAAACTCCTTAATTGTCTTCCTTTCCCATCCACACCAGAGGGTTCTGGTGGTCACTGGACCAAAGTGGCCAACCAGAATATACATCTGGGATTTTTGAATTGAAATTCAGAATTTATATTTCTTTGTGGTTGGATGTATGGGCTGTGGAATGGCTGAATGTTCTGGCAGGTGGACCGAGTAGCTGAGAATTATGGGGAGAGACAATTCGTTTTGCAAACAAATCAGAGTTGAGTGGCAGAGACAATGCTTCTAAGATTCCAAAAGTAGACATCCGTTGTTTTTGCTTGGTTGGCATCCCTTCCCATTTTGTTAACAGTGCCTTATTCTTCAGGGACTATCTCGCTCCCATTCCATGTGGTCCTGGGGATAACTGACAAATCAAGCCTATCAGCCTTTGCTCCTTGAGCAGAGACTCAAGGCAGAAAAAGGGGGCACCATCATTTTGGTGACCATTGTTGGGAGAAACTGTTAGTTTCTGCTATAGGAACCGTGGAGCTGTCTGTATTCCTGTGCCTCCCGGGGTCAAATTGTTCAACAAGTCTTTCAATTCTGAGATCAAGGGTGTCTGCTGCTTGCGATTTAAGAATCCCAGCACAGTGTTCTAGGTCCTAGCTCAAATTCACATGGAGGTTTGTAGCATTCTGTTTTGGGGCTCATGAGGCACTCTTGTATCCTTAAGTATTTTTAGCTTATGGTGTTTTTGATATTTATAACCACATCTTAACTAGAAGAGACCTTTAGTTGACTCTCCTATTTATGTGGATGGCCCCGAGACTGACTAAAGCAAGTTCAAGGCTCTCCAGGTCCTACTCCAATCTTCAAGGTCATAGCCAGGATAGCCCAACTATTTTATCATTCTGTATGCTTTCTGAAAACCTCAGTTATTTATTTGCATTTTGTAAGTATGAACATCTTGGGGAAAAATTCCTAACAAAGGTATACTTCATGAACAATAGGATTAAAAGCTTATCAAACAGAAACATGGTTCTAAATAATGTATGATCCTTTGAACAGGAGCCCAAATCTCTTCCTGAAAAAGAGCTCTTATTTCCTCTATCAAGCAACATTAAATGAAATTATAGTACTGCCATTAAATCCAATTGTACACCAGTAATTTTTCATTTCCAATGGTACTCTTCTTTATTAAAAAATCTTTATTAAATAACAAAATATTCCAGCTAATATAAGTACTTCCTTGAGCTCAATATTAATATACTTGGCACACAATTCAAGGCTGTCTCCTCAAACTCAGGAAGTGCATGATTTTTTCCTTGTGATGCAACAAGCAGATTTATAGTGAGCCTCCTCTGTTTCTCCAGGCCTAGTCACAGAAATGGTGAGGTATGTGGGGTGTTCAAATGGGTGACTTCTTAAATCTGGATCCATGGAGCTAGATTTGGGTCATATTATTAGAATTCAGAGATAATTGGTAAAAAAAAAAAAAAAAAAAAGCAAAACCCAAAACCAAAAAAGCACAGCACAGTGCTAAGCAGTGTAAGTGATTTACAATGTTTTGATCTTTGGCAAACTCTGGATGAACCTTTATGAAATGGAACAGTGGGGCAAATGCTAAAAAAAAGGGGATCGTCAAGTCTGACCAGTTCACAGTGTTTCCTTTTCTAAGAGTCTAAGGAAGGGTAAATATTATCTTGGAATATTCTGGTAAGGAATGCAAGCAAGGCAAATAAAAGGAGGCAGTTTAAAAGGTATTCCTTTGACCGTCATACTTTATTTCTAATACAAATAGGTAATAAAATAAAAAGTACCCAGGTATCTTTGAAACAAGAATACATTTTCTGTGTATCAAGCCATCATTTACAGATTAACACTGCAAAACATTTGAATTAATAACTCTTAATTTGCTTCCATAAGATTATAGGCAATAAAAAATGATATGTAGGATGAGAACTACAAGAAGAAACCAATTCAAAGTCCTAAAATCTTGTCCCTGTATTAATTCCTTCACTGCCAAAAAAATCACATGCATCTACAAAGAGAAAGTAGGTATCCTTAACATCAAACGTTATTTACAAAATAACTCCATTTCTCTCGGTTACTCTGGATACTGCGGGCCTGCCTGATACACGCACTGTGGGGCCAATGCCACGGTCAGCTCGGCTCGCCTGCTCCCCCTGGGTGCGGCCATTCTAGGCGCCGGAGGGAGACCTCACACCAGCTCGTAGTATTTCCCCGTCTGGGGATCAAAGTAGCAGTTCAGACACGGGTCATACAGCAGAGTCAGCACCTCCTCGCCCTCTTCCACACTCGGGTCTTCTTCACCTGCCGGGAGGAGAACCACAGACATGTTAGCCGCCTGCTGGCCCGGAACTGCTGACCGTCAGGGCAGAAGGGCAAGGAGACAGGCACCTCTAACCCTCCTGGGAGATGCTCCTTGTGCGGGCGGAATGTCAAGGCCAGAAGGGAGGAGCACGGCAGACGTGCAGACTCTGTGCACACAGCATAAGACAGGGCCGGCTTCACTCTGAAGGACGAGAAAAGCTGAGTGTGGAGGCCAGGCAGGGAGGGAGAGAAGAAAGGGACAGGGCCAAGGGACTCACGGGACCAAGGATACAAGAGGGATTCAAGACTTGGGGGCGACAGTTCCAGACTTGGCTGTGGGCCAGAGCTGTATGAATGCACCCTAAAAGTGCTACCAAGTAAACCCGAATTAAAATGGTAATGCTGTTTAGGAACACAAGACACACAAAGCATAGAACACATACAAAAAACTGTCAGGTGATGGGTAATTTTATTAGTGGTAGGAAGGTCTGTTTACATTTGCTAGTAACATGGATGTGGCTTCATGTTTGTTTCTTGTGACAACTGTTCAGATGGTTTGGAGGAACTGCTGCTGCCTAAGTTATTAGCAGGTTTGGTTGGTTTCCAACCCATGGCATGGACTGAAAAAAAAAAAAAACTGTTTTCGTAAGATCTTTCCTGAGCACCTTATACGTGCCCAGTGCTATGCTAAGTACTTGTGCACTTGATGCCGTCATCAGCAAGTGAGTGACTTGTGAATACTTGTGAGTACTTCTGAAAACCATGTGATAGGGAGTCCAGAAGCTAGGAGGGTAAGACCTCCCTGAGCTGGAGAGGATCAGAGCAGGCTCAGGGAGGAGGGGTGATTGGGAGAACACTCCTCTCTCTTCCTTAGCACAGGCTACTAAGAACCAGAGAAAACCCAGTGTCTGGGGCTGTGAGCTCACCAGGGTTGCTTTGAGAAAGGCTCAGGTGTGGGCTTGGGGCAGGGCTGACACGTAACAGAGGCTCAGTCAATACTGAATGTTTCTGGAAAGGGTGAATACATGACTGTGAAAGCAAAGTCTATGGTTATAAGTGTCACTGCCTAGAGTACGGGAAGGTGGTGGGACTCCATTTTTCCAGCCAAAACCAGACCGAGCTGTCCTTGTCACAGGACAGTGAGAAGCCCGAGTTAAGTCCCAGGGGGCGGGGCCAAGATGGTAAAGTCGGGGGTTGAGATGCTACCACAGCCATGCCTCTGACCATCCAAAGACACATAACATGATCGCCCCTGCACCAGGCACTGAGTGGGGTGCTGGGGATGAGATGGTCGACGAAACAGGCACTGTTCTCAAGGAGTGTGCAGTGACTTGGGCAAAACACAAGAGCAGCTGACTCTCTTACAGGCAGCACACAGCACCAGCAGTCCTTAAAAAGTGGAACTAACTGGAGGACTAGGTGCCTCTGCCTTGCTGGCTAACATCTCAACTGGCGGAGCCCTGGGTGGTTTAGAAAGCACTTCGCGTGCAGTAGCTCGCTTGACCCTCCTGTGAAATCAACAGGGATTATGGGTGCCCATTTGACAGAAGAGGGAAGCAGCGTCTGTTAACCGGCTCACCTGAGGTCACTCTGCTGAGTCAGAGGCACAGTCAGGGAGGAACCTGGGTTTCCAGACTCTCAGTTCTGCGTTCTTTCTACCGTATTGGCGCCCTGCTTTCGTTAAGAAGGTGGTGGAACACGTTCAGTTGGGAGCTATTATGTTATGCGAATTTAAACATGGAAGAGGATAAAAAATGTACACTTTACAGGTGTCCTACATTTGAAAAACTCAGGTTTGGAAACAAAAGAAATTTCATTTCTCATACTTCAAAAATCACAAAGATGAGAGAGTCCATGTGGGAGGGCAGAGGCAAAATCCAGGCTTATTAGCTCCAGAAAAGACAAAGCTTGAGGTTATAGCAGCCCTTCTGGCCTTAAGTACATCAAAGGTGATAAATGAGAGAGAAGTCAAGAAGATTCTGTGGGGTTCCAGGAGGAAGCAAGAGGATCAACGAAGGAAAGTTACGAGGAGCCAGAGTTTGGCTCAGCACCAGGAAGAATTTTCTAAACAGTAGAGCGGACCAGGGAATGGGAGGTGGACGCTGGGGAGGGTGAAGCAGGGACTGGGGCAATCACTTGTGTGAGATTTTATCGTGCACAGGGCAGGACCAGATCCAATGATCCCTGTGGTGCCTTTGATGAGTTTCTGTGACTCTTGGCTGCAGTGGCTTATGTCCTTGAAGTATGACAGGGCTTTGCTAATGGCCACGTTAATGGTGGTAGCTGACCTGAGCACCCTGCACAGTTTCTAATTAAGAACAGGAAATCAGAGAAAGCAGGCTGCCTTTCCTTTACTTTCTATTGTTACCTCAAGAGTGGTCCCCAGGGCCCTGCCCCCACCTTCTTCCTTTAAGTAGGAGAGGTTGGGAATGCTTTTCAAGTGACTGTTTCTCAAGGAAGATGACCCCCTTTTAGGGCACTTTTGCACCTCAAAGGGAGGGTGTGCATGTCCTTTACCTTCACATATTCAATCCCTCATCCCTTTCTTATTTAGGCTTCTTCAGAGAACAGAACCAATAAGTAACTTATGTGTACCTGCTGCGTGAAGATGTCTATTAAATCTGTACCATGTCTAGGTGTGGATGTGACATTCACACACAAAACAAAAGCAGCAGGTAAAGATTAATGAGGGGGGATGGGAGAGGCAACTGCAGAGTGGCCAAGAGAGCCCTGGGCCCTAGGATCTGGCAGACGGGACAGAGGGGAGCTTGGCCGCTGCCTACCCAAACGACCTTCAGGCAGTTATGGGTTATTTTGCCTCACTGGACCCTCATTTCCTTATTTACCAAATGAGAATAACAATGCCTGTTTCATAGGGTTTTGTGGAAGATGAAACTGGACCCTGGATAATATGCATAGCACAGTGCACATAGCAGTGGTCAACAAATGATCGTTACTGTTACTATTAAGGATAATGACAATCTTGAAATAAATCATGAACTACAGGCTCTAAATTGCTTAGTCACTCAGAACAGAAACACTGATAAAGCTTAGAGTCCTAAGATAAGGCTTCATAGAGATGGGCAGCATGACACTGAGGCAGTGGAGTCAGAGAGACCTGGGTCCAAATCCCATTCTACCACTTTGTATAGCTGTGGGACATTGGGAAAATTCAGCACTCTGAGCCTTAGTCTTCTCATGGGAGGATAGTAATACTACCTGTGATAGTACCTATGAGAACTAAGTAAGATACTTAGTAAGACTCCACACACACAGTGAGTACTCAATAAATGTTGTTGATATAATTGTCATCATGAAAAACGGAAGATACCCGAGTTAGACACAAAAGGGCTATGTCCACTTATACCTTATTCCCCATCCCAAAACTATACCTGTTTGATTTTTCACTACCAAGAGAAAAAAAAAATAGTGGATTTGAATGAAATACAAAGCCCCCAACTAGTTTCATAAAGGACATTATCATGAATTCATCTTTAAGTAGAAAGAGTTCTTAAACCAAAAATCACATATTTTTCAAAAAGTAAAATGAATTTTTCCATCAGGTGTAATGTTAAAATCATGTATCACCGAGGTAAATGATTACAAGTCAACCTATCTCGGGGGTCTGCTGTCCGATGCTTCATTTTTACTCCAGCCACACAGTGGGGGAAATTCTGACCTCTGGCATGTAAGTTACATGCCGTATAACTGCTTAGCGCACTTGGTGCTGGTACTTTCCAAAAAGATAAAAATTTAAGCTGGCGCTATTAAGTTAGGAAACTTACATTTACATTTACAACCAGTCAGGAATCTTTCTAGATGAAAATAACAGTTGTAATGGGCCATGGGTCTTTATCACCCAACTGCAAAGGGATCGAGGTGGAGCCAATTCATTAGTAGGGGTTTTGCTACATAATGCATACAAACTGAAGCAGTAACTGCTATATAAATGCATTCGTTCCAATACATATCACTATAAGACTGGAACCTCATGCATTATAACCATGGGACTAAAGCAGGTTTTGTGGTTTTTAGTACTAAAGCTTTAAATGGATGAATTTTAAAACTCAACCAACAGTGACACTCGTATAAAAATTGGGTGACATTATGTATAATTTTACATTGAAATAAGTGCTTTAAACTTGCATAAAAGGTTTTGTTTTCATTATAACTTAATTTTCAAAGCCTCCAATTTACATCATTTTAAGCCATTGTAATCTCTACATAATGAAATTATAATATCATTAAGCAATTACCACTATGATGTCAAGCAATGGGAAATGTTTTGAAAGGTAATTATTGTGCAAGGGTATGGGGTAATTTTCAATTATATTCTTGGATGGTACAGAGTTAGTTTTTCCCCAAAATGCTAAATTGCTCTATTTAAAGACTGGCTACAGAAACTCTAAAAGGACAAATTAACAAATAAAACCATTCTCTGCTACCAGACTAAGAGCATCTGGACAGGGGTCCAAATTACATTTTTACTCTTCTCCACATAATAAAGTCATTTCCAGTGAAATAAAATTGCCTTTCAGATAATAATCTATTTACAAACTTCCAGCTTCATCCACTCTGAAATTGGTTAACAGCAATAATAGAAGAAAAACCAACAGAGCCGGACCGAATGCAGCAATATTAGCTGCCCTTCCCTCTGTTAGATCAGTTCAGGCAAACAATTCCTTCAGTTCACCTTTTGAAAGTCCATTAATATAAATGCTTAATTATCTATATTTATTGCATTTTAACCATAGATAATAGAAAACCTATATGCGGAGGCTAAGTCCTCAAGCTTGAAAACAAATAATGTGGCACCACTTTATCAGATGTAAAATCTCTGAATCAAGACGCTGCACTTGATTTTCGATTTTCTGACGCTGCCATGCAGAATTTTTTTTAAAAAGTTAATGCGTTTTCTCTTTTATAGATCTTGAGAACTGATTGACTGTATTTTTATGTGCATACTAATACACTATTGTTTAAACAATTCAATGGTGAGG